AAAAAAAAAAAAAAAAAAAAAAACCCATCAAAGTGAAGGAACGTTATTAGGCTATCATTCAGGAGCGGATGATAACACTGAGATTTCTTTGCAACTATTTTTAGTACTTAAGGCTGCCAGCGATGATACGTTTTAATGAATCCCACTGTTCCATCTTCATTAAATAAACCAGGTTTCTCTTGCAGTAGCCCAAACCAAGAACAGAATTCCCCCAAGTTATCCGTCTTACAACAAAATGTGATACATTTACATTTCTTTCTTGCTACAAAATATATTCCAGTTACCATTACAGGACCTAAGTTCCTGTCTTTTCTAAAAAACCGTTTCGAATGGTCGAATAACGCGTTAACAGTTACCTTGCTATCTCCACACGGAGTGCCGTCAGCTGCAGGTATCTCAGCCGTCTTGCAGTTTCCACTTCCCCCAGGCACCTCACACCAGAGCTTCACGCAGATTTGCTGTAAATGCACACGATGGGAAAGTTATAACTACAACAAAACTTATCCTTAAGGCCTGTCCAAACGGTAAATGTTTGGTGACCAAATATTATCAAACATTGTTTGGTGACCAAACATGCTGATGTTGAAGTGAGTGGCCAAACGGTTAAAACATGTTTGATCAAACACAGATGAAACTATGGATACAAGCCGCTGAGCAAGCGTGGGACGCATGCGCTCGCCAAACATGTTTGATACGGCTGTCCAAACGAACAAAACATCGCCCATCAAACACGAGAATAAAAGAAATGTTTTAAGTTGTTTGATCGAACGTTTGATGGCCTTCAAATTTTATCAAGCACGATCAAACAGCACCAAACAAGGTTGCCAAGCGGTAAGATGTTTGGTCACCAAACAATGTTTGATGTTGTTTGGTCGCCAAACATTTCCCGTTTGGATAGGCCTTTACTGGTTATTTCGTGTTTTTTCTTGAAAAATAATCTAAGAATAATCTTTCAATTCATCTCTGGTGTAATTTTTGCTGAGACTATAAAATAAAAAAGATCGATACAAACCACCTCAGATATAAGAAATATTACACGAAGTAAGTTCTGTCTAATAGTCTTAGTATTCAGTGAGGTATCATTGCCCAGTTATCATTAGCTGATTAGTTCTGGTACCTACTCTCAAGAACTTGGCGTAGCTTTTTGAAAATGAACACTCACGTCCATAAACTTTTGTCCTCCACAGAACTTAGCAGCCTGTCCGTAAGCCAGCTGACACTGTTCATGGGCGTCATACAGTCTACCGGGCTTGTCCAGAGTCCTGATTTCTATCACATTCGTTTTGGTTGGGTTATCATCCAAGCAGCGAGAATCCTCTGAGCTAAGTGATACAGTAGTGCTCTATTATTTTGTAGTCTATTTACATGTCTGGTTGTTTTACAGCTGTATATGAAAAGTTATGTCTGTGAGCTACATTTAGTGAGTAGCCTGCTGAAGTTTTCAAGTTTTCTTCTTTCAGCCATTGATAACCAAATTAGAGATACGTGCAGCTATATATTAGCTGCCAAGAACCTCGAGTCATAAATATATTCGTTACATTATTCCACGTATCCGTCCGATTTATATTCATCAGGGTCGGCCACGCTTTTTGATATACGGTATACAGGGGGATTTTAAATCAAGTAAACGGTATTTTGATGCTAAAATCGGGCCTTTTATGGGTATAAAGAATACCATGTTTTTTTCAAATTTTGGTATTTCGCATGAATTTGAGAGGACATTTTTTGGTATAATGGGTTTTAATTTTCAGGTATACTGGTATACCACTCCCCTCCCCAATGGCCGACCCTGATTCATGGATAATTGTTACGTGGAATCAACTACTGCACAAAATAGCCAGCTAGAGACGTTGAAAATAAACTGTATTATTTTACAATTTAGCATGCAAAACTATTCAATTTTAACGAGACGTAAATGATGGAAACGTTGGCAAAACTCTGTTTTGTGGACATTTGACAGTCGGGAAGTTCATGGAATGGTTAGGAATCTTGTTGAAACTAAGTATTTATGAAATAAGCAATTATTATTTTGTTTGCCTTAGTACGTACTTTAAGAATTGTTGCAAGTAGTTCTTACTGCAAGCTGACCACTGGAAAGCTGACTGCTTCCCTGCCGGGTAAGATGCCATGATGTTCACACCATCAGGACACGCACCTCTGTCGTGGTTCATTCCAAGACTGAGAATAGCAACAGCAAAAAGTTATTACAATGTACTTGCTGATATATTAAAACTGAAAGACTTGGTATAATACACTTAAACGCTAAAAAAACATCAAAAAAGATGTCTGATCATAGCTCACCTGTGTCCTGTTTCATGTGCGAGAGTCATTCCAAGCATCAAACCGTTGTCTTGACCAACACTAGCAGAATTGGGGAAGCTGCACATTCCACGCGTTCTCGTAAGACCTGTTGGAAATTTAGCATTAATAGAGTGTTTTTAAAACATTCTAATTTCCTATTTTTTATCAACATTGAAGGTCGCCTTGTACTCTTAGAACAATGTCCAGCAGACTAGTAACGAGATCCATTAATGAAGAGATATTTATCGCCCATATTCCCTGACACAAAAAGAAAAGGCCTGTCAGTCAGTTGGGAGAAACAATATTTTGTGCTCGGCACAATTAATTTGCTGCAGGTAACTTGTCGTACGGGACATAGCAATAATACGGTAAGAACTGTGGAGAAATGAGAATACCTAATGTCTCGCAAGGTTGGTTCTTGTCTTTACAAATATTATATCTGAAAAAAAAAACAATAATCAGTATACAATAATCATATTTTTGTAAAGAGATACAAAGAAAAAAGGCAGAGATAATGAGGATATCATAGGCTACGCAGTAAGCCGGCACATTTCATATAAGTAGCTTCTGTTAAAAACAAGGATTAAAAAGGAGTCTCGACAAAACTTATATTAACAGTCAGGAACTATTATTGGGTGAAAGTTTATATGAGTGGGTGCTTTTTTATTGAACGACTGTTTTACCTCGTAAATAAAGTGGCATAATCGTAGTGATTTTCATCGTTGTCCAAAGGATTGTTATTCCGCTCCGCCCATCTGCCAAAGCTTTCCAGTGTATTGCTTGCGTGGTGGTTAACAACAAGTCCTGACTAATGAATAAAAATACTGAAAATTAGACTGACAGCTGGAACTAATACTTTGCTGTCACAAATACTAAAATCAGAACACCCCCTTTAATAACGTGACGTTTGGTTTAAAAACTGGCAAAGGAAATATGGGGTAAGTGTGCATTGAAGAAACGGCATCAAACAGTAGTTCTCGTTATTCTTTTGGATCAAATATTATTTATTTATGAAGAAGAAAGAACCAACTTGAAATCACTGTTCCTTGGGTCCACTCATATTTTATGAGATTGATAAGCCTTAAAAAATCAAAATCGTTGTTGCCCTGATGCCAGATGAATTTACAAGTTAACAACGACCTTCAATATCAATGGATACAAGTACTTCTGCAATGTTCCAATTAAATTTGCCAGATGAGTTGGTCTCATCTCGTGGCATTCCCCAAACATTTAACTTAGAATTAGCATTTCAACATATAATATAGTTATTTTACCTGCGGAGTTGTTAGAATCTGCATTCTCCTAACTACAAAATTCACTTGATTCTGGCCAATGCTTCCATCTCGCAGAAGGTTTGAGGCCTAAACAATAAAGATGAAGATGAATTGTTGACACAGTGATGAACAGGAATATACCCTGTCGAAACCCTGGTTTTATCCAAATGGTGAAATAGATGAACGAATAAAACGCAGCAACGGCAACATCAAAGATTTGGAGAAAAACATGCTCTTCACTTATCAACCAAGCGAGTTGGAAAAACTAAATTAAAGAGAATGTTACACTCTTCCACTTATGTAGAGCGATTTGATTTTGGTACTGACTATCAAATGTTGAAAGTTGGCTTGGGTGAAATGTTGAAAATTTGTCAATTTTATGGATGATTTCCAAGGGATATTTTGTACTAGATTTTGTATAAAGATTTTAGAGAAATTTGATGTACGATTGCTTTGTAGAAAGCTGAAATAATATCATAGAAAATCAGATAAATCGACTTAAATCATGATTCTTTCTAACTCAAGTCAAATGATCCACATATGGTCAACACCTATCCTAGCTAATTCATGTACTCCTTATCTTGCCTGCGGCACTCATTTTTAAACATAGATTCAATCATAGTATCAAGTTCCTTGCCCAAGAACATGATACGTGGATTATGATCAGGCCCATTTCGAGGCCTTAATGAGGCATGGTGGCCTCATGGTTAGTGCGCTCGTCTCCAGATCGAGCAGTCTGGGTCCGAGCCCTGGCTGGGGACATTGTGTTGTGTTCTTGGACAAGACACTTTACTCTCACGGTGCTTCTCTCTAGCCAGGTGTATAAATGGGTACCGGCGAACTTAATGCTGGGGGTAATCCTGCGATGGAATAGCATCCCATCCAGGGGGAAGTAGAAACACTCCTAGTCGCTCCATGCTACAGAAACCGGGATAAGCTCCTGATGAGCCTGGCTCGTAGCAGTCTTAGCCTTCTACCCATTCCCAGGCCTCTGCAAGTATGAGCTGGCTCACTTACCTAGGAGATTTCAAATCTAAGTCTTGAGGCATGCTTTATTTTTCGTTCATTAATTTGTTAAATACTATAGAGTTGTATTGTACAGTTTGGAATTGTATTTGTTACTTACAATATTGCATGCGGACAGCGCGTATTGCTTCGCGGCGTCTTCTCCGTGGAAATTCGTCATCTTTGGATCAACCACAACCAAGGTCTCTATGTATTTCTCTTCTCCAGGCCCAGCTGGTCCGTGCCTTTGCGAGGGTTGCGTATCATTCAACGAACGTATTAGGCGAATTTTTGGGTCATCTGTGCAAACGAATTATATATATACACTTATGCATCAAACAACCATTTGGGGACAGTGTGTAAAGAGATGCATGAATATTCATAAAATTGAACGTCTATAATTTACTTGCCAAGAAGAATAATAAAGCAGACACAGATACAACATGTGTACCATATTTCGGCCAGCCAAGCCAGCCTTCGAAACTGAAAACTGAAAATCATTCGAGCCAAAGCTATTTGAAAAGAAATGATCGTTACAAAAAAAGTGTTACCTTCGGTTCCACAAGCATGTACTTCCCTCTTTTCTCTAGCGGCATTAAGGGCTTGTCTTTTATCAAGGTTAGCAGCTCTTCTATAAATTATATGAGGTTTACTTCTACCATTAGTAGTTACTTTGTCATGCAAGTGAGTCGGAAGTGGTTCCAGGAAATAGGCTTCGTCCTCTGTGTGAATTAACCCAGTCTAAAGCAAAAAGAGAGCGTGAAAAGACATCAGAAATGCGTAATTGTAGGACTCGACCGCGTTAGTTTGATTGAGCTGTTTGTGGCGTTTCCCGTGAGGCCAAAAATTGCGGTTTGAATTGCCGTACACTTCCAGAGCGAATGGAACAACATTTTCCGGAGAAAAGCAGAAAACCTCGCGCATTATACCCAAACTTTCGAAAGTGTCTCACCGAGAATTTTCTGTTCCAGTTTATTTTAATCCCCCTGGAATTTGCAAACATTTCGGTTACCTGGATTGCAGTTTGAAAATTCAATAATTTTTTTGATTTTTCAGAAACTTTCTCAGGAAATCTCCCTACCATAAACCCTCGTTTCTAGAGTCCCGGAGTTTGTGGTCGAAGGGACAAGGCGCCCTTGAACACTTGGCTTACACTGGAACGCTTTTCGATCCTCGTTGCTGACTTCATTTGAGCCTTTTGATTGGTTGATGGTCTCCACTATAAAGCTTATCCAATTCAAAAACGGTTGGAAGCGTTTTGGCAGTTCAACTAAACCACATGGACAGTTATCTATACTTAGTGAAAGTTGAGACGGTTTACATTCAGATATGACGTGAATGATTGTCCAATGCAAATAGCAACAAAACTGAACTCTGAAATCCCTTGTTTGCGTAGTATTGTGCACTATGCTACTAACTGAGAACACAATGACTAAGATTGCCGAATGCCAAAAAAAGTTACACAAGTCAACTTATTAAATTAGCGTAGTCGAGGAGTTGAACTTGGTGAAGCTGCGCTACAAATCAAGCAGCGACTAGATTAAGAGATAGAGCGGGGGACGAAAACTAGGTCGTTGTTCTCCTCCTTTATTGACCAAATACTCAGTCTTGCCGTGTCCTTAATTGTACATACAGACCTAACAGTTACTTCCAAGGGGAAGAAATGCATAGACGAGAAGTGGTAGTTGCTGCGTGCACTTACCAGTCCATGACAATTGCTCATTGCTACTGTTGATCTTGATCTAGCTTTCACTCTTCCGACGTAGTGGCAATTTTCCATGGTATGCCGTTTTAAAACTCTTCCATGTTTTCCTAAAACCTCCACTTTGAACGCAGGTGCTAATAGTCTCCTGTTTCGTTTTAAATGGAGATGAAGATCATTTCCAAAAGCTGACACCTTAAAATGCACTTCTTCGTTGTGATCTACCTCCTCTGAAAAGCGGCGAATACGTATTCTCGGATACGATAGTTCGTGAGAGACGATGCTGCCTTCCTCGTCCACTTGAATTGGATGCACAACGTTGTACTCAGGTACTAAAGGTGATTAAAGATAGAAACACGTAATAAGGTTCAGATATTAAATTATTTTACCCCCTTTACTTATAATGATGCCAGATTGGAAAGACTATTGGGATAGGACAATCTGCAACTAGGGAGCTCGAACCCAATTTCTAACTTAAGAAATGAGTTGAAAAAATTTGTTTGAACTTATTAAAGCGATAATTGTTATATAATATTAAGTCCTATGTAATCAGGATTTGTCCAAAAGAACTCAGGGGCCGGGCAGTGGATAAGCAGTAAACATTTCAATGTCCGTTGATATAGGTATGTTCCTTATATAGCATGCAGGGTCCAGTGCCAAGATTTACAGGGTAAGGGAATCTGAACAGGGTCTTGATTCCTCTGGGCTCTATTTCCAGCTGTTTAAGAAGATCAGAACGAACGCAATCATGCAGATGGGGTAAGAAAGGCGGGTTGGCAAAACGACAGGAAATGGGTTCTAGGTCTCATCAAGCACGTAGTTGTCTTGATCCCCAGTTATTTTAAAATTCCAAGCCACGTGAGATATGTTTCCCCAGGCTTTCATCTTTGTCGTTCGCTTCTGTTTGCACTATTAAAGTGCTTGGGTGTGTTAATGCAAAGTTATCGGCCAAGTTTAACTTCCATTTTTATGTCGTTCGCAAACAAAGATAACCGTCGAGCTCCAACTTACCCAGTATGTGGCCTCACCCTTTTGAAATCACAGTGTGATATAATTAACTTTTAAAACTTGTTAAATGGTAAACAGGTAAAAGGAACATTACCGTCGTTATGGGAATCTATTCCAAACAAGCGGGAGAGATCTCTGGTTGTCATATGTCTATGGATGCCGTGGGAATAAGGCTGCATCAAAAAGTGAAAAACAAATACAGCCATTAGTGTTATCGTTACGAATGTTTATGTTCCTAACCGTTTTAATCTTAACTGGACACCGAAACACCGATCGCATCACTGAAACACCGAAACAGGACGAGGCCCTACCATGTCACTTTGTCTCACCATATAGTTGCTATGGCAGTCGTGGACAGTGGCTGTACAAGCGAACTTTTATCCATAATTGGCAAGTTAAATGAAACAATGCAAAATCACGGCCTACGGTCAATGTCCATTCCACTCACTGGGAGCAAAAGCTCTAGCCTGATTACTTTCGTCAAGAGCGCCGTGTAAATTGAAGGTTAGCAATAACGCCACATTGGTTCCACTTAAACACGTTTTGTTTTTTCCTGAGCCTCGACCATGTTTCTCCACTACCGTGTTATTATCAAGTCACCGTAGGCATGTAATAATGCATGGTAGTTTACTCAACAAATTAGTTACTAGAATAATTTCGTGAACACACCAAACATGAGGAATTGATTTGCCGTTCGACATAACTTTCACATACAAACCGGTCTATCTATTGATGGTAATCATGAACAAACTCTCATGTACTTACATGCGTTTTCTTCAGTTCACCAATGGATAATGAACATAAGCACAGAACCAGTTTAAAGATCTTGAAACATCTTTCTCCCCCACCATCCATAGCGGCACAAGTGTAAACGACGTTTCTTCTTCTAATCAATAAAATCGACAAAAAGACAGAATATTAGTCGATACGTCTGTCGATTTGAAAAATATGGAGATAATATTTACTAATCAAAACTTCACTGCCCAATAATTAAAAGATTTCAATACCTTACACCCTCATCCTAGCAACATTTCATATTCGTGCGAAGCACTCTCCCCAGTCAGTTATTTTGAAATCGTATAAAATACTCTATTTCCAATAATTTATCGGTTTCCCTATATTATTGTGGCGACTTGAAAATTAAATTAAGTTAACACTCGAATCGTGACCCTCGACAAAGATATGTTAAACACACACAGAGAAACAAATCCAAACAAATCGATCGGAAAATAACAGCAGGCTAAACGCTCTGATTCGCCCGAGTGATTTAAGGCGTTTATTTGGCGTGACAGCCGTGGTACAAGCTTACCTCCGAGTGGCTTGGTGCTAGCTAAATCACCTTTTTATCCCTGCAGGATTAAAACTTTGAAAAACTTCTTGTATTCTTGTATTAAAATGCCGCGATATTTTCATAGCTTGGCATGGTTTTCAGTTTGTTATTTTTTCCTATCCCTATGTTTCTAAACTGGTAGTTTTTCGTGGTTATGACACATTGACCTGTTACGGCGAATACGATTGGTGGAATTTTATTAGTTTGCTGGTGGCATCACAGCAAAAGATGAAGCCTTATCAAAAATTTAAACTAAGGCCATGATCTTCCGTAGCGTTCAAACGCCTTGCAGTAAAAACCAACGAAATGAATCTACATTGGTAGAGTAACAAAAAATGTTTTCCTCAGAAGCTAATTTATTTTTATTGGTATTTCGGTTTGAGGCTTAAGCCTAGACAACGAAAAACATTTTCGGAGTAAAAAAAATGGCTCAAACCCCTAATTTGAAATTCTTATATCATATCATTTCTATGTTGATAACCGTCATTTTACTCGATTCGGTGGAGTCTAAAACTCTTTTTATTCTTTTCTTCATATGATGTGGATGGTTACCATGATTTCGGTGATGTTCATTCAGAACATTTCTTCGTTATAATTCAGTAGCCGAGATTTTACAGATCATAGAAAATCTATGCAAAACATTTTTTTTTACATTTAATTCACTGTAGCAAGCTTGAGATTGGCAATGCACCATAGATGTTTAGGGGGAAATTTAGTTACTTCCGCAAAATGTGATTCGGCCTGTGAAAACACTTAGCTTCTCAGTGTTGAAAAGCAATTCACCTTATTAGCACTGAGGTGCTAATCTTTGCAACTCATTGGTTTTCCATTTAAACTAACAAATTAGTACTAATTCAAATATTTAGAATAATATTAACGGTGATTAGATTTACAAGTTCTGGATTTTGCAAGCCTTATGCAAGTAGACTACAAATGATGTAAAACAACCGTAAATCCGATTCCGGGGGGAAAGAGGCCAAAACCACTGTACAAGGCACACAAAATGACCTCATGTATCCAATGTGTACTGGATCCTCTATTCTTGTCTGATGTTTGAAAATTATTAATCATGATTTCCGTAAAAATCTGCAAAAAATCGAAGTACATCGCGTTAATAAAGACTTCTCGAGCCTTAGACACAGTATTGAGGGAGTAAACTACATCGATAACACACTGAATAAAATTTCGTGAACGGTTATAGAATGAGCTGTTGGAAATAGTAGAGTGTCAGTGTGTTTATTACTTTTGTGTGCCAAAGGAGGACGTTGTAAGAACGAATAAATGAATAGCCTGTGAACAGGCTTTCTAATCGAGGATGGGGTGAAGAGAAAGCGGGAAGTAACTAAACTTGATTTTCTATTATGATAATAGTTTCTTGTTATTTAAGTTCTATCCATGTGCGAGCTTCGTCGTGACGCTTCTGTTTTCCAAACTCATGAGCATCTTGCTCGATCCACCTCGATCGACAGTGACATTTGTCTAAAATCTCTGATTTTACAGTGTGACGCAATTTTGAACTTTATATGAAGCGCACCTGGTGGTAACAAGGCCAGAACAGCACCACCATTAGCCATATGGAGGCAGGCCCGTAGAAACGAGTTTCTAAGTTGAGTAACCTGGCAACGAAATATACATCAGAACTGGTTGCCATGGTTTTTTGTAACAAAAGTTCCTTTTTGTAATTTACAAACACTTCCATCCTCCAAACGTAATGTCCCAAGTTTAGCTAGGTTTTGTGTTGATAACGGGAAGGTTATAGAAGAAGATCAAAGCGTCAGTCTGACTTACTCAAACTAAGTATATAGAAAAAAATTTGAATACATTACTTATCGAAATCTTGAAATCAAAGTACCTCTTCTAGAGCAATCTTTGCGACTGAAGGTAGCAAAGAACTTAGCAGTGCAAAATATTATTTCCTAAACCTTTTGTTTGTAAATACGTAGATGAAAGGGTTTATAAAGCTGCAACCAAATATGTATATCGTTTGAATTAGGAATGCAAATGTAGGCATTCTGAGGTGATCATATCGGTAGCGTCCGAGAATATCGATGAATTGAATGGTTATCACCGGAGCCCAGCAGGCCAGGAACCCCAAGGCTACAATTCCAAGAATTCTGGTAATTTCAGCTTCTTCTATCTGAGAGTTATTTCCCTGCTGTAAGTTTGAAGCTACAGTGCGGTTGTGACGGGAGACAAAGCGAAACACTTCGAAACATGCCGAGAAAATTAACACGCCTAAGATGACAGCACCAGCTATACTGCTGTAGTTCATTGTGTCGCCAACGTCTCTCTCAGGCAGAAAGTCATAACAGTAAGCCACTTTTGAATTATAGATTCCATGTCCAGAAGAAACGAGGAGAGAAAGTGATTGTACAATAACATTTAAAAGCCATAATATGGCCAATAGCCACGGTCTTCGGCTTTACAAATCGATGGTGTAACGTACGCTTTACCACGCACAAGTAGCGGATTACTGCTGTACATGTCATTGTAGTTAAGATCACACCCAGTAAAACGTGAATAAGGAGCGCATTAAATGTACAAGCTTCGGAGGAAAAAAGCCATTTTCCTTTGATCAAGGACACAAACGAAAAGGCATGACCAAGCCGGCCATCAGAACGTCGCTTATCGATAAAAATAGAATAGCAGATTTGCACGTCGTCATTTGACTACAACTACCAGAATTCCTTTTGTTTTTTTCTTATTATTTAAATTTTGGGGGGGTTTAAATAACAATTGCCCTGATTAGCATAAGAAACAGGAAAAGTGAGGGATTCTGGTAGTTGTAGTCAAATGACACCATCATGCAAATCGCCTACTGAGATGTTGGCAGCAGTGCGAAGGCGAGGTTTCCATCAAAATAGTAAACTTGTAAGCAGGTTTCCAAGAAACGTACCCAACAGTAAAATGACCAGAATAACTGCTCCGATAAATATCTCCGTCGTTGAACGATGGGACAACGTCACATTTTTAGTAGAATTCATAACAATGGACCGTGACCACTTTAAACTTAAAACTTGATATTGAAAGTTATAGCAAGCCTGTAACATTGGCAGATGGCGTTCAACCACGTATTATGAGAAAATAACAGGATAACATTTAATTAAATTTACTTCCTTCCTTGATTGTTGATAGTTCGTATAGTGTGATCGTCCGGTTGAGTGTAGTTCTGAAAAGAACTGTTGTTAGTGACTGACGTTTCGACAACCTGAGCGGAAGTCATCTTCAGAGTCAAGTGAATAGTGTTGATAGTGATAGTGAATAGTGTTGATAGTGTTGAACGTGATTGGTCAGTATAGCCATGATGGTATTGGCTGAAAGACTCGTGTAAAGTTTGACATCAGTCATTGGTGGGTTTCGATCCGTCTTTTGTTGGTCAAATAGGCCGTTTGTCGGTTTCGTTTCCGTCATGGATAAGTCGTTTGTAAGGCGCCGGTAGTTGTTGACATCTGTTAAGAGGCGTTTGTTCTAGGTTAGTGTACC